TTTTTTTTTTTTTTTTGGAGGCAGAGTCTCACTTTGTCACCCTCGGTAGAGTGCTGTGGCATCACAGCTCACAGCAACCTCCAGCTTTTGAGCTCGAGTGATTCTCTTGCCTCAGCCTCCTGAGTAACTGGGACCACAGGTGTCCACCACAATGTCCGGCTTTGTTGCAGTTTGGCCAGGGCCGGGTTTGAACCTGCCACCTTTGGTATATGAAGCCAGCACCCTACCCACTGAGCCACAGGCACTGTCCCATCTAACAGTAAATTTTGAAAATATTTTCATGTGATTACAGTCTTCTATTTTGGATGACTACACCATAATTTAATCTTTCCCTTTTCCCCTTATTATAAACAGTCTGCACTGAGCAGTAGCCTTATAGCTAAATCTTTGCATATATCAATATTTACTTAACAATATATTCTGACAAGTTGAATTGTTGAATTTAAGGCTTTGTTTGTTTTAACGTATTGCCAAATTCTACATGAGAAGAATTACTTTTTAGTAAGGGACAGAAAAAGCTCTGGAGACAGCAAATGACATGAGGAAAGGACAGGCGTAGGAAAGTGTAATGCATATTGGTGGTCTAGAGCAAGAGTGTCCAACTGAACTTCCTGCAATGATGGAAATGTTCTACATCTGTAGTGTCCACTCTGATCGCCATCAGCCATGTGAGGCCACTGAGCACTTGAAATCAGATTAATATGACTGAGGAAAGTCCGGGCACGATGGTTGACACCTGTAATCCTAGCACTTTGGGAGGCCAAGGTGAGTGGATTGCCTGAGCTCATGAGTTCACGAGCCTGAGCAAGAATGAAAAGAAAAAAATAGCTGGGCATTTTTGTGGTGGGCACCTGTAGTAGACTCAGGAGTCTGAGGGAAGTGGATGACTTGAACCGAAGAGTTTGAGGTTGCTGTGAGTTGTGATGGACACCACGGCACTCTACTGAGGGTGACAACATGAGACTCTCTCTCAGAAAAAAGACAAAAAATGACTGAGGAAATGAAGTTTTATTTTTATATTAATGAATTAATTTTTTTTTTTGAGACAGAGTTTCACTGTGTCACCCTGGGTGACAGCTCACAGCAACCTCAAACTCCTGGACTTAAGGGATTCTCCTGCTTCAGCCTTCCAAATAGCTGGGACCACAGCTTTTTTTGGTTGTAGTTGTCGTTGCTGTTTGGCAGGCCCAGGCTGGATTAGAACCCACCAGCTCTAACCAGTATGTGACTGGCGCCCTAGCCGCTGAGCTATAGGCGCCAAGCCATTATATTAATCTAAATGTAAATAGCCACATCTGGCTATCATATTGGACAGCACAGTTCTAGAGGATAAATCTATCTTTCAATCAGGCACTTGGCCCAACAAATACTGGCTTCTTCCATGCACCAGGATTATTCTGGGCACTGGGATACATATATAAGCAATTACAAGACAAAGTCCCTGTCCACATGGAGCTTACGGGTAGTGTGGGGAGATGGACAACATACACAAAAAATCAATTTCTATGTGACATTTCAGACACTTATGAAAATGAGTAAAACAAAACCATGAATAGAAAATGACTTAAGGTTGGAGGGTTGAAGGTACGGACTTCAGGGAAGGCCTCTATAGGGTCTCAGTTGAGCTAGGACGTAAACGATAAGGAGTCAGATCTGGGGAGAGTTGAAGGAAAAGCACTCTAGGCAGAAGGAACAGCAAGTGCAAAGGCTCTGAGCATCATGTGTTGGGGAATGGAAGGCCAGTGAGGCTGGAGCACAATAGGGCAAGCAAGGTGGGAAGATGACCATGCTCAGTCACTGTCAGGCGAGCAGGGCTGGATCCCAGAGGGTCTTTCAGGCCCTAGCAAGTTCTCTTCATCTGTAGAGAACTGAAACTGAGGCTGACCCAACCTAATGCACCCAGAACACTCCAGAAAGACCCCAAGAGCTCCCTTCAGTCCCAGATACCCTGCAATCACAGTGGGGGAGAGGAAGGTGGCAACATTCAACCCAACCCACAGAAATTCTTCCTCTGCTGAGTTTTCTTGCATCAGGCAACATAGGAAGGAGGCGTCTAACCACTTCCCGGACTCCTCTGTGACATTTCAAAACTGGTTGGTTTTTTTAATTATTATTTTTTTGAGACAGAGTTTCACTATGTCTCCCTCGGAAGAGTGCTATGGTGTCACAGCTCACAGCAACCTCAGACTCTTGAACTTAAGTGATTCTCTTACCTCAGCCTCCCAAGTAGCTGGGACTACAGGTGCTGGCCACAACACCCGGCTATTTTTTTGGTTGTAGTTGTCATTGTTGTTTGGCAGGTCCTGGCTGAATTTGAACCTGCCAGCTCATATATGTGGCTGGCACCCTAGCCGCTGAGCTACAGGTGCTGAGTCCAAAACTGGTTTATTTTTAAATGTTATTTTTTGTTCTCAGAACTCCCACGACACCCTCCTCTTGATCCATAATACTAAGAGATAACATGTTTTAGTATAAAGAAAAAACACATTGAGCACTTCCATGGTACTGGACACTGGCCTAGGATTGGGGGCTGCCATGGTGGACTTCACCTGCACGAACGGCCATCAACCTAGAGAGGAAGAGATAGCAGTTAGTAACCCCATGAATGTGTAAGTACAGACAGTGGAAAGGGCTAAGAAGGGAACGTATACATGCAATATGAAACAGAGTGCTTAAAGTAGACTTGACCTAGTCTGGGATTCTGGAGGCAGAGGGAAATAAATAGTAATAATACAAGAACCCTATGAGATGGGTTCTATTATTATACTCATTTTACAGATAAGGAAAAGGTCAAGGCCCAAGGCAACACACTGGTTAGTGGTAGAGCCAGGATTTGAACTCAGAGATTAGTTCATGCATTAATCCACTCTGATAAACAGATCATATGTGACTGTCTAGAGACAGAACAGAGACGAGGCACCTTCCTGCTTTGATACATCCACAGTAAACTTTTATGCTGTCTTTTTCCTTCCCTGGCACCTAGA